AGTATTGGGACCGCATCATTCACCCACTCCTCTCGGTATGTGCGTCCCAAATGCATGATATTTTCGCATCTGCGCATTTGTGCAGCAGTCAGCAGCACAATCGGTAACGTAAAGACTGCAGTAAGCCATAGCCGATGACTTAATTGCCACAATAGCCAGCCAGCGTTCTTCCTTGCCGTTGTCAACACTATACCTGCATCTCATTGCCATAATCAACATTACTACCCACATCACTCAGGAAGACGAATCGTCCAAAGAAAATCACTCTTCTTTGACATGCAAATGATGTCTCTTAACATTTTTGACCAAGATCTTGGCGAAGTGGCAAACGTTATCACGATAAGTTACTCAGTGGGCGACCCTCATGATTCACTAATTTGATGACCGGTTTTTCGGGTGACATGAGCGTGAACTGCTTCTTGCCTTCTATTTCCCGTAAAACTAGTTTTTTTCGATATTTGCGATATAAGTTAGGAGTTGTATCGGTCGACAGGGTCAGGCTTCCCCTGGCCTGACCCTTTGGTCATTCTTTAACAGCGCTACTCCAATTACAGGCAAGATGCACCCTTATTGAAGAGCTGTCCGACTAGCTTTGACAGCGGTCAGTAAGAAGCCTTTCGTTGAAATCATAGGCAGGAAATTCAATCAACATGCTCCACGAGGGACAGATAGGCTCAGACAGTTTTGGGGCTCTTCACCGAGGTCAAGTTGATCCTTTATTTTTGTGCACAAATCTCATCCGTTGACTCTCCTTGGACTACATATGCATTTAGAGACGTTATGTGGGGACTGGTAGGATGAAGGCGACCAACGTAAGTAACAGTGGTAAGCATTTCTAATCCCCACTCAATTCTCCCACACTTAGTCTCCCACTTGCTCCTACGCTTTAAGTTACATTTAAACCGTGGTGTCTATGTTAATGCTAAGGCCTTTCTTTAGTCCTTCACTTAATTCCATTTGCCAGACACTTATGCATACAACCCAGCACTTCCATTCATCCATAGCTGTTCCTTCCTTCTGCCTAATTCCCCTTTTCCAATCAGGTAATACGCAAAAGATATTGAGCATTAGCAAATGAGTTTGTGCGTGTGCTGTGCATGTGAAGTTGATGTAAATGGCCAATTTCTAGGAGATTTTTGGAGCATGTGACCCCACATTATCCCAATGGCATTAGTTGTGTGCAGCAGATATAAAACACGCCTTCTATGTTGGTGACGTAATTGGCGCCTACATTTTGTCGCCTATTTGAAAGCGCCGGAGAGTGACTCAGTGAGCCGCATGTCTCAGAGTTTGTGAACTCATGTTCAGGTATATGCAGGTTATTTAACTCAAGCGACTGATGTGGCAATATGTAACAAAGTGAATGAGCAGTGGAGTTGAAAATAAAGAGCATAATGTGGAAGACGCAAACTGCAGATCTGAGGATAATACAATGTGCCGATGCTATCACTTGACTCAAGAGAATATTCGCACTGCATGCGTGACACCGGCTGTACACTGAATTGTCGAGCAAACACCATAGATTGGCGCAAGAGCGTGTTAGCGGAAAGAGGCTGCTCCAGCATCTACTGATAAGATGTTAAATTTGAAAGTGCGAAATAATCAAGTTGGCGTAAGACATGACAGACACGAATGATGCGAAGTAGATCAACTGCTGGGCATTAGGACGCGCATGGTTGTAAAAGCACACCTTTATTTTGACGCCTATAACTCCACACACACTCGCACAATCA